CCAGCCACTCTTCCCCAAGCCTGTAGTGTTGCATGGGGTGTGCTGGCAGTGGGATAGCTGTTCTAATCCACAAACAACTCATCCGGTGGCAATCACTCAGAAGAAAGCAAAGGGGAATCCTTAATCTGTGGATTATCTGGGGTTTTAGACAAGATGAGCCTGAAGCATATGAAATTCTTCAATGCATTTTTTCGTCATGGAACAATAGAGGAGATTTCTCTTCCCACCCCACTTAACCTATTCCTGCGATAGACTTAGCCTTGTATTCCTGTGATATTCTCTTAAAAGGTTTCACCCGGAACTAAGGGCTGCTTGCAAGGGAATATGCAACTGCTGAGCAATAGGCCTCCCCGGCCGACTTTGGAAGAGTGGCCATAGGTCCGTGTGCTGCTGCATGAAACTCCCAGGCGCTTTTAGAAAGTTCCAAGTGCTTTCAGTCACCTAGTTCAGCACTGATGCAGCCAAGGTGCCAACTTCCCAGATCTAAAGACAACTTTTATTTTATTTTACTTATTTCTATTTCTTTTTGCAAATTAAACTCATTTATTTCTTCCCGTATGAGTCTATTTTCCTTGTGGGGAGCAGAAAGTAGCTAGAGTAATCAAGAGGCAAAGAGGAAAACAGCCTTTGCCTATAAATTAGTTTTCACTGGCTCCTTTGCTCCCCAAAGGTCATAGGCTGACTGTGAGTTAGGAAGAAATACAGCAGTTTGGGATTACGCATGGATAAAACGGAGTTATCCTCATGAGCTGATGATATGTCATATATCACAATCTCGCAGATATGAATTTGGACTGGGATTGTGGAGGCAAAGTTCAGCAGATCTGGCAAATAATTTACAGTGTAAAATGATTGTCTTTAATAAAAGAACATCACCATGTAGACAGGGGAATTAGGGCAAACAAACCCTGCTGATTTATAGGTTACCACAGCAGTCAATGTTGAAGGAGGAGGCAGCAGACTGGGTTTTATCTGCAACCCAAGATACTGGAATATTTAACTATGTGGTAAGTATTAGAGGATGGTTTTGGTGTGCTGCTACTGCTTTCCTTCTAAGTGACTCCATCCCGTGTAATTAATTGGCCAGTTAGCAACGTCATGTGTACAGCTGGGGACGTTTTGCCTGCGCTGAGCTGCCAGGGGCACGCTCTGCGACAGCCGGCTGCAGTCCATCCGCTGGAAAGGGCTGTCTCCACGGGGCAGCAGCAAGCCCTCAACAAGCTGCCCTTGGAGGACCACCAGCACCATGGACACAAAAAGCAGAGCCGGGCATTGCCTCCCAGCTGTCTTTGCCATGCCTGGAGGTACTTCACCAGGACACAAACTTGTTGCTTTAAGTAAGAGCTCTTGCTTTGCACCTCCATGCTCTTTCAGGTTAGCAACTGGTTGTAATTACCAACGCCTGACATGCAAAGACACCTTAAAGTATAATTGGAAAAATAAAGACATCATGTCCTTCTGCAATAAAAGATAACATGACTGTGTATGGCAAAGCCATTAAAATACACCTCCTCCAAGGTTTTGCTCCTTCTAAGGACAGAGAGAGAGAGAAACACAGTGGGTAAGAAAAATTACAGTATTGCAGATGGGGCTTTGGTTTAGGTTCCTGAGGACCAGGAAGAAAAAAGAAACTGCTTGGGCCACCGGAACGTGGGCGCTGCTCGGTGCCATGCTCAAAGCTCTGGGGAAAGTAGTGGGAGGAGATCTCTTGCACAGAGGTGGAGGAGACAGCGTGGGTGAAGCAAAGACTGCTTGCTGTGCCACAGGGAAACATTTTCCTTTCCTAGTGAAAAAAACGCTGTGCTTCTGCTCCATGGAACAGGACTTCCGAAACCAAAATAAGCCACAAACGTGATGCTCCATAGATTACTTTTAAAAATCTTTTTAATGAAGAAATAATTCCATTCCAAAATATAGACACACAATTAAATAGTTTAATCACTTCAAAATATAACATGTCCCCAGTAGGTTCCAACACACACACACAAAACAATACTTAACAGCAATACAAAAAACCCATACAATAGCAGTTCTGTTACAATACCAATGAATATCGTGACATCTTTAGTGTCTCTGTATCTGTCTCAAGTGGTGTCAAGTACAGTAGTTTTAAAAATGTCTTACAGTTAGTAGCCTCAAGATGTAACTCTTCATACAGGGGTTCTTTTTTTTTTGGTTCAAAGGTAAAAATGCCCTTTTGTCTTCAGGACACGGTGGAGTGCTTGTTGTTCACAGCTCCGTCTGCTGAATTGAACCAACGTGATTACAGCAACGCGAGGTTGCAATATTTACAAGGTCTATCTACAGTAATTGCCAAGAACCAATAAGAATGGGAGAAGATGACTGAAAGTAAAGGTGGACACACTTATGATAAATTATGATGCAACAATTTGGCTCATGCATATAAGAAAATACATATTATATCACAACAAAGGCCACACACCTTTTTATGCAGTTTAGTTAACATTACTACTTACAGACAACCCATTCTCCACCTTCGCTTTGGACATTCAAGGACCCTATACATCTTCACATCCCTGTCTCCTGATTCCAAACCACTGGTTTCCCTCCAGTGACAGTAAAACCACCCGGAGTTTTGACTGCTGTGGTGGGCCATTGGTAGTTAAGAAAAGGCCCATGCCAGGGACCTCTTCTGTGACTCTGTTTTAATGACCACAAACCACAACCAAAATAATATTCAACAAGCAGACAAAGACCAGCTGGGCGAAAACGCAGCCAGCTTAACAGTTGGAAACTGCTTAAAATAGATATTTGGAGAACCAAGTAAGAGGTGCTTCGTCTCAGAGCTCTAGGGCATACAGGACCCAGAGCTCTGCTGGGGATCACCTTGTTGACACCAGCCTGAGAGAAAGGCGCTTGATCCGTCAACTTTTTTCCTTACTCCTAGTCCGGAAGCCCTTGCAATGGATTTATTCTATTGCATCTATTTTAAGCATAGTGATAATGAACACGCAGACATTAAGATGATGGGAGGGATCTATTACTCTGGGTACAGTTAAACACGACATGGGTTGAATTAGTCAGCCATTGCACATAGCTGGGTTCTAGCTTGTTTTATCTCTGTTCAGGAAATGCTTGTCTGGAATCCTGAGCTGACAGCAACATCTACAGCTTCACTGGAGTAGCTTTAAATGTGGAGTGCTAGGCACTAGTGGAGGCTCACCCATTCCTGAGAGGAGGTTGGAGGAGGGGGGGCATCGGAGGATATGGTGCCTGCCTTGCCAGGACGGCACATACCCCAGGAGCAAAGACCAGTGATTGCAGAAATGAAAAGCTCACATGAAGATATCTGGATGCCTTAGTATGCATTTGGATGTCTGAGACCAAGCCCAGATATTTAAGGAGATGCGGACAACAGATCTGCATACGCAATAATACAATACGAAAGCGAAAAATGGCAGCAGCTCTTTCATACAGATACTCGTTCCCCAACACATAGTGCCCAGGGAAACAGCCACGAGCCTCGAGAGTGCATGCAAACAAGTGGACTTACTGGGTCGAGCTACATAGCAATCTCACGTAAATACGGCAGCGCACATCCACATCACCATGAAAGCGAGGACAGACAAACCATGTTAACCTACTTCAGATGGTTCTCCCATCACTTGCTGTAGGCAAACTGTGCTGGTGTGAAATATCTGTATGAAACGCTACCGTTTGCAGGGCTGTTGGATAGTGTCACTTCAGGTCAGCCAGATACTGGAAGCTGTAATATTGCATTAGGGCAGTAGAATTACATTAGCGCAGAGGTCGTCCTGAGCTAACACGCTGCGCTTGTCGGGAGGGCTGTGCGGCCAGCACGTAACACCGCACCATGTTACTGCCCGCCGCCTGGTCTAGCTGTTCCTGGCCTGGCTCCGGTTCCTCTGCATGGCAGTGCTATGTGCCATGCAGGTGTCACCCTTCTTTCCAAGCAATACGCTGCGGGGAGGACATTCCAGCTAGTTTGTGTCAATCCCTGCTCAGGAGTATCTGTAGGCTTGTAGTCACAGCAGAGCAAACGCTTTTTAGCTAGCAGTCTCACTGCCTAATCCAACATGGCCAGGTAAGTCCCCTTTCTCCTGAAATGCCTTTATACTCGAGAAATACTAAATTGGACAAAACTCCAATTCTGTAACTGTATGTCTGTCCTTCCGAAAAAATCCACCGCTTCTCTTGTGCTTTTCACTGACAGCTATTTCTCCTTCCAGCTCCGAAAGAGTCTCACTACACATTTCCAAGAGTGCATGCAGAACATCTGGTGGCTGGCTAAGGCAATACACATTCGGAAATAAAAAGAAAACAGTTGCAAGCGCACTTTAAGCCTGTACATTTAAAGCTGAAGGCCTCGAAAATAACATCGGGGGGGCGGGAAGAGGGGCAGAGAGATGGAAAGAGCCGGTTTGTTGAACACATGCTTACTAAAGCTAAAACATCAGTGAAACAATACCATGGAGGATTATACATAACATCAGTCAGTTCAGGGATCTTATGGCACCTGTGGTTTATAAACAGCTTTAGCAACGAGTATTTCAAAACATAGTTCACAGTTTTAAGAAGATCTGTGCTGATTTAAAAACTAGATTCTATATCATTTGAATGTCACCTTTTGTATATGATATCTATTTGGAAAAAAAATATTTACACTAACTTCTATGGCTGATTTGTTAGATTATTTTGAAAGAAACATTCCTAAGTTACACATTAGCCCTAAATTAGAGAGGTTTTTTATTGTTATTATTAATTATATTATTATTATTATTTTCGTACATTTTGTAGAAGTCTTTATTTAAAGACTCACAAACAAATTGCAAATATAGTCTGGTACTTTGTTTTTTGGGCTACTAGATATATACACTCAGGAGTATAATCATTCAGTGTTAAATGCATAATTGTAGCTTTTTATTTCTTCTGTGGAAAAAATGTACAGTGTATAGTAAACCAATCTACTAAAATCTCAAAGTATTCAGAAATCAAATTTCTATCTATAAACAGTATTGTCATTGTAAACTGAACAGGTTCAATATCATGTGCAAAGGGTTTACGTGAGTTATTAATACCGCCATCCTTTGTAACAGCAGTACGTACGTCAGTCTGTCGTCTTTACTGGTAATGAGCCATGTTACAGAAGATGTAGCTAATATAAGTTAGCTTTAAACAAAAGTCTTGTTGTCAAAAACACACATCTACAAACTACAACTCTTAGAACAAAAGTACTGTGCTACAGTCCTCAGAACTTAGTTATGTGATTTTTTTGTCAAGAGACGCTGCACCTCTTGGTTCCACTCTTCTGTGAAGTTCGCAGCTGAGTTTTCTTCATCGTCTGTCCGAAAGCAGCTCTCCTCATCATCAGTTCTTACGTAGCTTTCGTTGTCTGTCTGACTGCAGCTCGCCTGTTGAGAAATGTTTAGGGAAGGTTTTAAAAAGAGTGCTGGCTTAGGATGCTGCACCCACACAGGCAGAGCAAGTAAAGCCTCTGCCTGCTGCTTTATTGAGAGAAACAAGGAGGAGCTGGCCAATTCCTGTGGTTATCCCTGAAAAAGTTAAAAAAGTGAAAAAGCCATTCTACCTTGGGGAGCCACAAGTATTTGAGCTGTAAACAGAAACTTACAGGGCACTTGGGAAGCTGGAAACTCTTCTTACCATGGGTGAGAAGACTGTTGCCTGCTCTGCTGTGGGACTCTGGGGTAACTGGGTCTGCAGTGACACAGATTTAGATATTCCCATTTTCCCTTCCATTTTACCCTTCCAGGTTGCTCTATAAATAGATTATTGGTAGCAAAACCACGAATCATTCCCCTTGTACACAGTGCTCAGTTGCCCAGTTAAGAGTCATTCAGCGGCAGGACCCCTCCCTCATGTGTAAACGTCTCACCCTTAATTTATGTGCTCAAGTATATTTCCCTATGTCTAAAAAGACATGCAGTTACTTAAAAGGATGATTCTGGGTGCTATAGCTCATAAACAGCCTAATCTGCTGGTGCACCAATTTTGCCTTGGTGCCTCTCTGTATCCTGAGGTATCAATAAGTATCTTAAACTCCTGTATCGGAGGCATCAAAGTTTTAATTCGTAATGGAAAATGCATGATAGATGACTGCTGCTCTTTCTCAGAACTATGTCAGGATCTACAGTCAGGTAATACCGCAAACAACTTACTCTGGCGTATTTATCGTAAAGGCACTCTTTACATACTTGACTCATTCAAAGTTAAGGAGCTCAGCCTTTTTCTCTTGAACTACCTCGGACAGAAAACCAATTTGCATTACATGAGATCTGATAATAACGGCATAAAAGACCAAACCCTACTGACATGAATTCTTTGCTACTCATTTCAGGCATAAGGCTGGTCTACAAGATGAGAGATGAAATGCAAATTACTTCAGCAAAAAAGAGTTAAATTAAAGCTGATGAATGAAGAAAGGTCAGGTAGTTTACCTTGCTGCTTCTCCTTCCTGACACCATTTGATTGTATTAATTATTCAAGCACAAACTCTTCCATCTGATTCCTTAATATCTAAGCATGCCAAACGGTATGATGATCTTAATTTAGTATCTCCTTGTGTCAGGCAGTTACAAAAGACCTAGCATTAACATTTTGTTGATAAATGGAAAGGAAACCTGCACTGCAAGTCTAACGAGAGGTTCACAAAAAATTTCTGAGGTACATTTTAAACGAGGATTTTTAAAAAATCAGGCATGCATCTGCACTGCCTAAGTCTGCAAACCGATTTCGAAATCACAGTAAAGCAAAATTTTGCTCTTCACAATTCAGCCAAAAAATGCAAATGAAAGGCATGGAAGAGGTCAGTTCTCAGCTGCCTGAGACTGATTTTTATTGAACCAATTTCAGGGTTATGTAAATATAGGTACATCTCGTATTTCTTGATGGTATTATAAACCACGAGAGCAAAATAAGAGTGGCTTGTGAAACACTGGATGCATTAAGATGCATTGACGGTACTGCAAAGTATTTGGGTTTGCTTTGGATTTTCTGGATAAATTACTTCTCTTTGGTGGAGTGCAAGGCTTCTTTCTGTTCCACAGCCAGCATTGGGATAGAGAGATTTTCATAGAAGAAATAATGACTACTAATGAACCTCAGAGCTCTAAATTCATTGCAGCATTTTGGAAATGTCAGATTTAATTCCAAGTTAAGATTTGTCATGTTATAAAACTGTTTTGTGACCTTTTTTATAACTTAATCCACAGGTTCTTTTCTGTTACTTATCATTCAGCGATTTTCAAAACCAAAAAACTTGTGTAATTTTAGAATTAAATTCATAAAACTAAAGCTGCTTCTTCCCAGTTAAGTCGGTCACAGTTCTTTTACAGCTTTTTTACGCCTACATGCTAAGAGGAGGAGGACTTAAGGAGAAAAATAAAGAGGAAATGCAAAATATAGCTGAGTGAATGTAGCAGACATTTTTGAAAATTACTGTGCTGTCAGCCTGCTGTTATTTTCAAATGGAATGGTCCACATAATGCTGGTTTTTATGTATTTTTATGTATTTGTTCAGAGAAAACCAAAAAGAGACGCTGAATCATTTGGTAGTAGACTACAACTTATGGATGTGAGAAGTTCATCTAATGCCTGTATCCTGCTTCTTTACCACTGCATCGCTGACTTAGGAGGAAGAGGGCGAAGGAACTGGGCTTGCTGAGGCTGGGGCAGAGGTGGCAAGGGAGGATCAGTTAGCAGCTATTTGAGGGGTAGTTACAAGGGTAGTAAAGCCAAAATCTTCTTGGCAGTCCTGAAGCACACAAAAAAGGACAAACTGCATTTTGGGAGGTTCAGGTTGGACATGAGAAATTTCTTACAATGAGGGTAGTCAAGCACTGGAACAGGTTGCCCAGAGAGGTGGTAGAGGCCCCATCCCTGGCAACATTCAAGGTCAGGTTGGACGGGGCTCTGAGCAACCTGATCTGGTTAAAGCTGTCCCTGCTCACTGCAGGGGGGTTGGGCTAGATGACCTCTAAAGGTCCCTTCCAACCCAAAGCATTCCATGATTCTGTGATTAGGGAAAAAAACCTGCAAGGAAGGTAGCACTGCACTGGAAGGGAGATGCCCAGAGAGGTTGTGAACCTTCCATCTATGGAGGTTTTAAAGTCTTTGCTAGACAAAGCCAAGGCTGACATGGTCTCATGTTGGAGCTAGACCTGCATCACATGGGAGACTGGACCAGCTGACCTCCTGAGGGTCCAACCAACCAATGCACCTACACCTCTGTGATCTCCTGAGCTCCTGGCATGAAGCCCACGCGAGGAATGAACCACAGTGCATGAGCTTTAAATGCAGCCAGTCAACTCTGACTAGCAGTGCTTGGGGCCCTACAACCAAACAGAGGCCAGGACACTGATGGGAAATGTGACCTCAGGCAGTGGGCACAGCAAATCTGAAACCCACACATCCATTAACTGTGGGCTAGTAACCTGACTTGGGCCCCAGGCCACAGACCCTGCGTCCCATCTTTCCCAACAGTAAATGGCCAGGTCCACATCGCAAAGGGCTGAAAATGTCAATGGCCAGTGAAATGTATGTCAGCTTTAAAATCTTATTTCCTTCCCAGAAAAAAACAGAGATGCAGGGCAGTTGTGTCTTCACAGCACTTAAATTAATCGTCTGTGCCCTTCGGCTTAACCAACAGCCCTTCTCACAGCGGCACACCGGGCAGGCTAGGCTGATGACACCATCTCCCTTGGCCCGTGGGTTTTGTCACCTGACATTTGGCAATATTCCTAATCTCTGCTGGTAAACATGAAAACAGAGTTTGGAGAAAAAGGGAAAAGATGAGAAAAACCACTAAAGTGTTACTCAATAAGACTTCTGTCCTGGAAAAACAGCCAAGTTGAATAAATAATAATTTAGCAATGCATTCTTATAAAAAAGTTGAAGGGATTTGGGGTTTTTGTGTTTGAAAAATTTCCACCTGTTTCAATACAAACCATTCAGTCACGTTTGCAATGGAAAATGTCACCCTTGGCCACCCAAAGCCCCAGACCCCACAATTTGCGTGATAAGGTTTAGAGCAGGTGAAAGGGTTTGGAGTCGGAATGGAACTGAGTCTTCAACTTAAAATTGTCACATGTTTTTGTCAACATAGAGAAAATGTGATCACAGTTAAAAAATCAAGAACGAAACCTCTAATAAAGACTCCTCCCTGTACTCCCTCTCAAGAGGATGCTTTAGATCTGATTTTTATTAGCTTTTCACACCTCCTTTTCTGTTATAATAATGCATATAAATGAATTAGACATGAGCAACTAGTGTTGCTATGCCAGCACTAAGAAAGCACTGCTTTAGAAAATCTAGGAAATTGTAGGTCTCGTAGGAACATGCCCACTGCACCAGTTGACAGCTCTTCATTGAAAATGACAACTTTTTAACCACTTTTGGAGATAGAGGCTTTCTGCTCCCATTGGCCATTCTTGGCAAAAAAGCAACTGCTATCAGGGGGATAAAGGCAAAATAACGTCCAAGTTGCACGTTCACCTAATTTTAAGATCTGCTGAAAAAGAGCCTGCTGAAAACAAGCTAAAATTCACCGTGTTTCTCTATTAAAAATAAAACAAGTGGTATTAAAGTACATTTAATAAAAAAAGTAAACTGAACGTGATTAAATTACGTCTTATGTATTACTGGAACCACTTGGTCTCCTGGGAATTTGTTATACTAGATGTTATTTCAAAATCAATTCTAGAGAATAGCAATTTTAAAAATGCAAATGCAAATAGAATGCAAAAAGCCTTAATCAAATGACATCAACACCACTTGTCCATGAATGAGGAAATGAACAAAACTCAGTGGCTGGCTATCTGTGGCAACATCACTCATAAGAAGCTATAATAAACTGATTCTTTTTTCCCCACCTTTTTATAAATAAGCACAAATGTAATACTGTTTTGAGATAAGAAAGTCTGTTGGTTTTCTACCTCATATGGCCACCTAGACAATATAATACCGACTGTATTTGTATCATCACTGATTGAATAGTATTATCTTAGAAGCAGAAGTCTTGATGCAATTGCTAAGCTCCAAGCAAAAATCCAATGTAAACAGCAAAAGCACTTTAGACATTGCAACCGGTATGAACAATTTTGGATTTAATTTTCCAAGGCTACGAAATATTAGTACCAAATAAAACACACAAGATACTTTGATCTTCCATACTCATGAAAGAGTGAATATTGAGAAGACTAAACCACACTTATCATGTGCAGATGTATTTATCACAATGTACCATAATACAGAGTTTGTTTTTGTGGATATAGGTGAAGTGCCAAGTTCACTGATTGTTGTTCCTAATTTCTATAGGGACAGCCTTTTACAACTGGTGGGAATGTTTCAGTCTTTGGTACCAGCTGAAGTGCTTCCCTGGGAGCTAAAAAGAGTTTTACTATGGAATTAACTGGAGCACCGTGCTTTAAAAAATTTCTTTTTGACAGGGTTTCAAAAGGTTTCAAAAGTGTCCAGGAGATGAGATAGTAGCTCAGTCTCAGATCTCTGCTAATTTGAGACAGAATACATATTTTCAAGAAAGCTAGGCTATCCGGCAGTATGCCGGACTATGCTGTCCGGCATATATATCCAGTCCGGCATTTCCCCACATCACTATGTTAACACTGCTTTCTAACAAAAGCAGAAACCTTAAATGGGATTGCCTGAGCTTTATAATTCTAATGAAAAGGATTTTTTTTCGACTTAATATTGCAAATGGTTGGTCTGAATGCTACTACCCTTTAAAGTCATAGTTATTCATAACTGTAATTAAATTCAGTTATATATAACATTCCCACTATATACATAGTTACACACACATATACATTGTTGTTGAAAGATCTATTTTCCTTTTCAAGTGACCTGATCTATAACTGACAACTGCAACAAAATAGAAGAAGAAAACTTATTTTTCTGGCTGTCAATGTTTAGGAAACCCTACACGGCTCATGTTTTTAACAAGGCTACTGAGAAAATGAATGTAACCTGAGGGGCAATGTTAGGAGAATTTTTATGAGCAGTTATTTGGTGTTTATAGTACTCCGGGTATTGCCGTTTATTTGCTTTTCACATCCACTTATTCTGCTTTAGCTGCCAGAGACACTGAGACAGATGCTTCAGAAATACCTAACAGCTTTTAATTCTGAAGACTGGCAGCTGCTTTCACAAGGTCCATGCGTTAACATCCAAATTCTACTGTCATCAGAAGTTGCAAACCCCTTGAATTGGGGTCAAATTTTGCCATCAAAATTGCCATATAAATAGGAGGTCTAGCACAAAACGTGGCATACAAAATCTAGCAACATGTATTCCTGCTAAAGTTGGCACAGGCTAGTTCACTGGTTTTGCTTATCTGAACATGACCCTGCTCCTAACTTGAAGTGTCATTTGGTAGTTGACCTTTGGTTGCCTTTAGTTCTGGCTTTGAGGAAGAGACTCAGTTTACAGACCAGAGTCAGACCCTTATTTTGATTTCTCCTCCCTTTCTGGCCTTGTTACCCCACGGTTCAGTGTCACAGTAGGATGGACAGCATCATCTCACTGCCATCTTCACAGCAGGGCACTGCACTCTCCTAGGAAGTCAGAAATGCAGAGTCCACAGCTTCAGATAAGGCAAGAATTATAGAATCATAGAATCGTTTAGGTCAGAAAAGACCTTTAAGATCATCCAGTCCAACCATTAACCTAACACTACCAAGTCCACCACTAAACCAATTAAGGGGAGAGGAATAATTTCATGGTTCCTGGCTTGGTGGCTGCATTATTTTTTAACAAAAGTAAAAACTAGGAATCATTAAGGTTGCAAAGGATCTCTAAGATCACCAGTCCAACCATCAACCCAACACCACCATGCCCACTAAGCCACATCCCAAAGTGCCACGTCTACCCATTTTTTGAACACCTCCAGGGATGGTGACTCCACCACCTCTCTGGGCAGCCTTTTCCAATGCTTGACTATTCTTTCAGTGAAAAAATTTTTCCTACTATCCAATCTAAACCTCCCCTGATGCAGCTTGAGCCCAATTCCTCTCGTCCTATCGCTAACTGCTTGGGAGAAGAGCTCAACACCCACCTCACTACAACCTCCTTTCAGGCAGTTGTAGAGCGATAAGGTCTCCCCTCAGCCTCCTCTTCTCTAGGCTAAACAACCCCAGTTCCCTCAGCCGCTCCTCATAAGACTTGCTCTCTAGACCCTTCACCAGCTTCGTTGCTGGTAAAGGAAATTGTGGTCTCCCATTTCCTTGGCAAATGTTCAGAATAACAGGCTACTTCATAAAAATAGCCATTGTCTGTGTTCCTGAAGAAAAACACAACTGTTGAACTTGGCATTAAACTCAGTGCTGCAACTGTGAGGTTGGCACATGTAAGGAACATGACCTGAATATGGGCCAGCAGGGAATTTATAGACCTTCTTGCCTTATCTCTGAATTGCCAGACTCTAGCTAGTAGCCGAGTAGCTTGCACTTTGGATTGGGGCATTTTAAACTTCCACAAAACATCTGAGGACACCTCTATGGTTAAGCAGCTGGTGGATTGCTTTCTTTAATGTTTGCCTAACTCCTGTTTCACATACTAGAGTAGATGTTCCAGTCTCACCAGAAATTATTTATTTCAGTTATCCTAGGAAGACTAAAGTATTGTAAGGAATTGAACTCGGGTCTCCTGAAATGTTATCTATTCCTTATCTTCTGGATAATGTTTCTCTGTACTGGCTAATATACTTGTCATCATCCCCAGGGATGAAAAGCTCACATTCTTACTCTTATGGTCAACAAAGGAAGAAGATAAAAAGGGTGGTGGCTCAACAGGAATCCTCAGGACTAGGACCGTATTTCAAACAGATTATTAGAAATGATTTAGAGACATTCCTAGGCATCCTAACACAGGTTAAAAGAAGAAAGAAACAGCATCTTCACATACACTCAGGCAGCACAAGGTGCACTGCAACTGAAATACCACATGAGGAATCATTCCAAACATTCTTCTAAATTATAATGATACTTACTTGAGAGGAGAGAGAGAAGGATATTGCACTCAACTTTGCAAACTGACCTGTAGATAACAAAGGGTAGAAAACAAGAAGATGACAAATTAAGCCAGTGAGCAGCCAGGCAGTGTATTATTCTGAAGAAAGCCATGCACAAGCCTAGAAATAAAGGGAGCAATTATGGACCCAGAAAATAAACCCAATGAAAAGTGTCTTACACAACACTAACAAGAACACAACTGGTAGCAGATGTGGGAGGATAAGCACTGTTTGCATTTACACTTGTGCACTAAATGTGGTTTTTTCTGGTACAGATACTTGTTATTTGCAACATGCTTCAAAAAAAAAAAAGAGAGAGAAAGAAGTCTCCTTTGAGGTTCCCTGTCTCATATTTCCTTGTGTATCTCGGGTTTTCTGCTCACACTTTAACACTAATTTAGAGTTTAGCTTGAAAATCTTGCTTGGAGACAAGGTGACACGAAATAACAAGAGTGGGTTTTGACCAACCATCTTCCATGCTACACAACATCTACACGTTTTTCTAAATGTGCTGCTTTTACACAAAGTGAGACATTTAATAACATAAAAATGGTTACCATATTATTACTGAGGTTATCATTCCATAACCTTAGTAGGAGTTCCTCCTTGCAGATTTTTTCAGCTGACAATTGCATTACGATAGCTACAGCCACCAGCTTTTTTTGGCTATCCAGATGAATGCAGTGTACATGTGAGTACAAATAGTAAAATAGCCTGTAATAAATTCCAATGGTTGGATGCAAAATGAGAATAGTTGACCTGGCTACTGTTCAATAGGATGCCCTAAGCAGGAAAATTTCCCAATTTTCCTTTGTTTTGGCAAGTAGAAAGAAAGTTGTGTCTTTATCTTTAGAGACTACTCAGTGATACTAGTAGAAAAAGGAATAGAATAGCAAAATACCACAAATTAACTGCAAAGTGCAGAGAATGAGCCAAAGCCAAAGCACATGTCTCAGGATCAATACATGACACTATCCAACCATCTCCTTATCATCCTAGTGGTCCCTGCTAACTTAATACCTATTCTTGCTTGCTTTAAACCCATTCCCTAATCAAAAGGGCAACAGCCATAATGGGAAGGACTTATCACACGTTGCATGCTTTGGGTCTATGGTTATCAACTAAAAATAGTTTCTACTTACAAGTCACTACTGTCAAATCATTGCCTGATAGGAGCTGACAATCTCACAGACAGTAAAGTACATAATGAAATTTCTTTTGGAAAAATGCTGTTAAACAGAACTTGTGTAGAATAAGGATTTTCTGTTCCCTCAGTGAATACATTTTTGAAAGAAAAAAGTCTTTTTCTTTTTCTGATTTTTTTTTCCCCCAGTGGAAACAAATCATGTAAAACAATGGGGAACAAAGTTCACCTGGGTGTAGTCTTGGCTGACCTAAATTCAAAAAGTTTTATTCTGACATTGATAGGGAGAAGATTTCCTCCCCTTCTTCTGGGAATGTTGTTGGAAGACAGCAGAAAAGCTCTATTTTGACTGAAGCAAGAGTAACACCCATGTCTATTGAGTAACTTCTACTGCACAACGAATGCTCTTATTTTGCAGTGCACATGCATACTCCATTTTGTGCGAGTACAAAATCCCATTGTAACTTGTGAAACTCATGTAACACTGTTGCCATATACTGCACTTCCATACTGTAATCCAAGTATAGTTAAATTGGCCTATCCTTTCTGGAGAAAATGGAATTTTTACCAGCAATAATAACATTTATTATTTGATGCTTGACAGCTGTCACCATTGAGGTATTCCTTCTTTATAACTGCCAATTACTTTCCATTACATCAGCAGTAGCTGCTCAACCTGTTCAGAAGTTTAAAGGCTGTCATTTTTGCCATTTCCTATCTTGGATAAAAAATTGTGACAAAAACCCCCATGTCACCCACTGTTGCCTTAGTAGATAGTCTATAACAATTCTGCTCCTGTCGTCATGTCCTTAAAGACCTTTGCAATGAAATGACTTTTGGCAGGCTACCATGGGTATGTAGCAGACCTAGGTAAACAACAAAAGAAAAAAAAGATGCTCACGTCAAACTCAAAACTACCTGAAATTTTGATATGAATCAATGAACTTTTACAAGACTAACTTATCCTAGCAGCTTTACAGAAAGAAGACCAAAAGAGCAGCCATTCTTCATTAGATCACAAGCCTGTCAGTCCCAGATCCTTGTCTCCAAAGTGACTTGCAGTGGACACTAGAGAAAAACTACCAGAAAAAAAGGCTAGATTTTGTTAGCTCCCAGCAATCAGTAGTTTAAAGAATTCCTGCCCAGAAGGTGCTTTTGAACCTCATTTCCATACACCTGATCTCTCAGCACCTGCTTAATCCTTTTTTAGCCCATTTATACTTTTGGTCTCTGTTACATTCTGCAGTGGTGAGTTCCAAATTTTTATTGATCACCGTGTGGGAAAACAGTTATTTTTGCTTGCTTCAGCTCTGCTCCCAAATAACTGAACTGGGTGTGCCCTCCTGCTGACATTACTACCAACATTATAAGAAGTACTGAATTTTATTTAGGATGATCCAAGTCAGAATAACTTAAAAACTGGTGGTAGTCTATTACACCAGACAGAAGTAGAGACCATTATGCAGACAGGACAGGATATCTACAGAATTCCAGCTCCCCCCAGCAAATTTGCTTTACTCAGACTCTTAAACAAATGCCCTTTGAAAACTTCCTCAGGAGGTGTTTAATGACAAATCCCCAGGCTTCTCTATACTAGATGCTTGTTGAATACTTGGTCATCTGGGATACAATTCATTTCAGACCCTTTCCTCTCCTTCTGGATTGTGACAATAACACACAGACTGCACTTGAGCTTCAGTTCACACTGGAGAAACCATTAGGAATGTTTTTCACTACTGGAGAAAAAAAACCCCTCTAAATATAGCAAGAACTAAGCTTGACACCACCAACCAGCCTCTGCGGTACAGGGAATGAGGTCTAAGTGACTTGCTAGGCACTGGCAGAGAACAAGCTTAGAGGCAATTCTGTCCCACCTGATGCCCTGGTAAGTTTAAGGATTACCGTTGTGTGCCTCAGCGTGGTCTTCCTGGGTATGCACAAAGGCTAGATGCATGCGTGTCTGTGGAAGAGAACAGCAGCAGTTTTTGGAATGTGGCTGCTCTAGTAACTGAGAAGAGATCACGCCCCAGGGCCCAGGACAGGTTAAGAAAGGCACTGGACAGCTATGGCGCATTGTTGTTTCTCACTTATGGAGATGTAAGGGCAGCTGGTGTCCTTCTCCCACCTGGTATGCCTCATCCTGCAGCTTCTGCTTCAGGTACTCCTCCATTTTCAGTTCGTTCTCCAGCTGGCGGACAGAGTCATTCTCATAATTTTCATCATCTGCTCTGACATAGGGGTCTCCATCTTCTGTAACCCTAAAGACAATTATTAATAAATAGCCTCCTGAGATGAATGACATTCAGAGTCAATAAAACTTCCCTTTCTTGTAAGCTATAAAGAGAGTGGGATACTCTTAGTCCAACCACATGCTCCACCGGTTAGTATTTTCCTGGTAGTGGAAAACAATTCTGCTGTTTCCCCTCTCCAGTGGTCTGGCATTGATGAAGTAGAGCAAAGGGCATATTCTGCTGAAGGCTTTTTGGGGGTACAGCCCTACAGAAATGAGTAACGGAAGTTCTCAATAACTTGATACAACGAGGTTGAACTAGAAATAGCTGGAAAGATGCCTATTGTCTTTGATAGGAAGACCCAGGTTCTAAAAATAAATCAGTTTGTTGATCCATAAAAAGCATTCTGCCTTTTCCGTTTTGAAACTTCTCTTTTTCCACTGGGCTGCAACAAGCCCCTCAGTCTGGATAGGCAGGGAATGGGACTGCAGGGCATATTAGGGAGCACAGCTGTCCCACAGCCTCCATGCTGTCCGAGTGCACCAGACTGGATGTGAGACGGCTCACTCCTGAGGGTGTCCTAAGTTCTGCCCTTTATGGTTTATAGAGCTCACTACTATCTAACCATTAACCTGTCCTCACCTGGATTTAGGCGGGGGTTTTTTTGTAATCAAATAGTTGAGAGGGGGAGAAAATATTCCTGCTGCATATTGTTTTCAACAGAACAAGAATGAGATTAAGGCGGCGAATCAAGCAGGTACCCACATGTCACTGCGGATGGAGCCGGTGGCAGCAGCGCTGTGGATGTACCCTGGCTTCCGGGCATGGATCTGCGCGAGGAAAGCCTTCTCAGACGTTGGGGACGGAACAAGGTCATCAAAATGAGTCCGACCAAATTCAGAATCCACATTGCTTTCTGTCTCGCTGCCCACTTCTGTGAAGGAAAAAGTGACACATGGTTCCATTTAACTTTCATAAGAGTAAGTATACTTGCCTATTTCTCTAAGCCTTTCTCTGCCTTTTCAACTTAGAATGCCACCTCCTCATAGCAAATGACAGTATATTATTCTACATACATCTGCAGAGCTAATAGTTTTCTTCACGGAATAGCAAAGCTTTTGCTTATCTCTGTAGGATATTTTCATGAGAATACTAGACTGCATTTTACAACAGGTCCTATATGTTCTATACTGAATGAAACTTCTGAAGAGCGAAATCCCACTCCACATGGAATCACAAACTGCTCAAAGTTTTCACTGTATCCAGCTGCACCACTATGTCCTTGACTTTCAGAACTGCTGTATTCCTGAATCTGTTATTTAGGGATTTTTTTTCTAAAAGCATAAGAAGCTTTGAAGACACATTACGCTGCTTTTTTCTAAGTTTGTATTTTCCTACCTCCCATTTTTTCAAATCTATGTGAAATGTCAATGTCGTGACTATCCATTCTCGTTAGCCTCACTCACCAGAATTTAGTTCTTTTACCAAAGAAGACATGGTGTTGGTGATTGAATCTGCTGCCACCAGCAAATCATTTCTTAAGTTTCGTCTTGCACCTGGAGCAAGAGACAGACAAAGCACCGTGTTACTATTCTTCACAAGACATATGTTTTCCTGTTGAAAACAGTTTTAACCCTGTTGAAAGCTGCCATTGTGATAACTCAGGGTATCAAAGTCCTTACGAGGGACACGTGCAGAAGAGTTCTCTGCAGAATGGCCTCATTTACTTATGCTGTATGCAAGAGCAGAAGCCTGTCCTCATGCTTCATTTAATCACAATGCCAGATATGTGGAGATTATTCATTGCCATCAAGCTTGCATTTGTGTGGTGACACCAGCAGACCAGGCCTGGAAGATTAAATCCAGCATGAACTCATTTACAATGTCTGTGGGGGAGGACGGAAGAAATGAAGTGTTTTCTCTAAGTTCCCACAGCTCTGTTTAACGACACCATTATTGCCAGGTATTTGCCAGATAATTACAGCAAATGTTGAAGAAACATACTTGACCTCATCAAGACTGATAGGGATTTTTCTTCTCTGCTCCCTCTCAGCCTCTCAAGGACTTTCTTGTATATTCCATAATTTACTTTCTCTCTCTCTCTTTTTTAAAAAAATAAAGGAAGCACTATTGCCTCTCTAAAGAGCCCCAGGCTGCTTTTAAACTCTTTCTAATAATGGATCTAGAAGTGCTTCCCTG